CAAACCCACAACCCACGACCCACGGACACGCAGACCCCCCCACCGCCATGGCGCCCCGCTGCTCTTCCTGAAGTTCAAACCTGCGCCAACATCTAACTTGATGATCTGGCGCATCGCATCGCTCCTGCGGGGGGGGGGAGAGTCCGGTACTCCTGATTTTACAGGTAAATAACCCCCCCCTCAGCACGTCCGTGTGCTTTCCGCGGCCGTGAAACCCGAGGGTGGCCCGGCCCTGCCCGGGTTTATTTTAAGATCGGCTGTGACCGGGTGAATGACAGCCCGACCCCCGGCCGCCCGAACACGGCACCGACGCTAGTTTGAGCAAAAAAACGCACAAGCAAGCAAGATCTGACACACCCGACATTAAATGCAATGCATTTATTTTTATTTTTTTAAAAGAACCCCACCCCCTCCACGCAACCGCCGTCGGGAGAGCCTGAGGAATGAAGTGAATAAAAAGGGGGGATGTGGCGCCGTTCAGCACTCAATTTATTTGCCCCCACCCGTTATCGCCGCGGTATCTGCCCCGGTCGTGGCTCACAAAGACACCCCTGCACACCGCCGGCTCGGGAGTCTGCCCGAAAGAGAGTCCCAGTGCGTGTCGAATCACTCACCAGCCGGATGAAGCCGAAGCCCCGGTCGCGGTTGATGAACACCTCGTTGGCGTCGCCATATTTCGCGAACAGCTTTTTAAAATCCTCCTCGGTGAGGTCGGTGGGCAGGTTGCCCACGAAGAGCCGGCAGCGCTGCGTGAACGTCTTCTCGCCGGGCTTCCTGAAGTTGCGCAGGTCGAGCGTCATCTCCAGCGGGTCCCCGGCGCCGAGCTCGGCCGCCGCCGCGCCCTGCTCCGCCGGCGGCTCGGCGTCGCGCTTCGGGCCCCGGGCGCCGGGCGACGCCGAGCTGTTCTGGATCTTCACCTGCTTCAGGTTGCGGTTGGCCATCTTCCCACCACCACCCCCCCCGGACGCGTCGTGTCGTGTCGTGGCGTGAAAGGAACAACAACAACGACGACGAAAACCCGGTCGCCGATCCTTCCTGTGCGGAGAGCGCTGTTCCCACAAAGGCTCAATGAATGGACGCGAAGCGACGCTCTCGGCTCTTCTGGAAAGATCCGCGGGTTTCCAAGATGGCGGCCCAGGCTCCCCTCTCGCTGCGGCAGCTGTGACGTCACCGCGCCCCGGCGCTAGCACAGAATGCCTCCTGCCTGCCCGCCCGGGCTCCGGATTATTACCCTATTATTAATAATAATAGTATTATTATCATGAGTGTTATTCATGCACGGGCTCTTGCCTCGGCTTCTGCGGGACACTCCCCGCATTTACCAACAGGCCTGGTGACATCGGCCGCTGCATCCACCTCAGGCGTAGTGAAAATGCATTTAAAACCGGGTATTTGTGTTTTACACGTCACTAGATGTGTGTATAAATGGGGGGAGGGAAGCGGGTACTAGGACTTGTGTTTACCGATAACGCGTTTGTGAAGGATCGGACTGCAGGCGTGCAGCAGCGCCGCCTGGCGCCAAACGCTGGAGACTGCGCTGTAGTGGCAAATAATCTAATAATGAAGGGATAACATTTATTTTGCGGGGGGGGTGGGGAGGCCTGCAAATAAATGCCCTGTCGCATTTTCCGGCGGCTGTTCTTCACGCACGTTGTCTTCCTGTACTCCCAACGTGTGTGTCAGCGTCTGTTAGTAAGTACTCTTGGTCATTTTACGCACACCTGTGTAACAGATGGGGTTTATAAGATACTACGCGTGTTCTTTATCTTCAGCTGGGTGTATATGCGTATGGTTTTGTTCTGCTGGCAGAGGTGCCTTCTCCATAAATGTGATCGCAAAGTTGGTGATGTTTGTCTTATGCAACTTTCCTATGACGAGTTGGTAAAAACGGGAAAAACAAAACGACAAGAAGACGAGCACGTAGGGTGGACGGAGACATTCTGTCCCTGTTGCTGCCTCTGGCTCCTAGTCCACGATTGCCCGGCTGATCTCTTCCGGTGGTTTCCTGAAGGAAGCCGGAGTTTGTGTTCCAGCTTCCAACGGGCTTAAAGCCAATAGAAATCGTGCTTCTCGTTAACAGTGTTAAATGCACTAATTCCCACTAACGCCTTCCAGTTCGTATTTTACTGTGTCTAGGGTGTGGTGTGGACTTTGTCAATGTTTTTGATGAGTTTGAACACTTGAACCCATGTCTATGCCCAGGACTAGAAAGGTTCCGTTCTCAGCCTGTTAGTGCCCAGGGGGGGTTATCTAAAACTGGTCTGGAAGTACAAAGCTTGAAATGGGTGTTTACCGAAGACGGAATTAAAATCACTTTAAACATCTTCATCGATGTTATGTTAGTCAGCCCTCATTTACTTTTTAAAATTTATCTTGTCATTGTTGTTTCGCTCTTGCCGGCTATGCGTGTCTGTCCTATTCAAGACGAACACGTTTTTAATCGTTTACTTCATTGCAAAAGCAACCTCCATCTGTCCGACGAAATGGGACGTTCTCTCTGCAGTGAATGAAGGACTGTCGTTTTACAGATTTCCGAAAAATCGATCCGGCTCCAAAACTGACCATGCAAGAAAACATTTTAACGGGCGTCCCTTAAAAGCGAGTCAGTGCTGTCGTTTTATCGGGGTTTTGAGATGTAACTCTTGTCGGCAGAACATACGTACTGTTCCTTCACGCCTTGAAAGGAGCTGTACACCGCCCCCCACTGGAAAGAAGCGGTAGCGCACGGTGTCTCTTCTTCCCGCTGACAAAAACAGAAGCGGAATCGCTTTATTTGCCAGGTACGTTACATGTACAAGGAATTTGATCTGAGGTCTTGGTGCAAAAACGTAGAAACGATCAGTAATGCACGTACACACAGCGCATCCCGTGTTCTGGTTAAGCAGGGCGATGACCATGGGGAAGAAGCTGTAGAGGCGCCGGGCCGGTTTGGGTTTTGATCCAGATTAACGCTTTAATTTGACTAAATATAACCCCCATCTGTAACATTATAATACCCTTACATTATCGCTTTTTATACTTTCGTCTGTCACTGTTTGTTTCTGGGCCTGAACTGTTCTCCCCCGCTGTCTTATTATGAGAGAATCAGCAAACGTTTAGCTATCCAAAGGTTTTGAACATGTGAGTATCTGGGGGACCGAGGGTTAAGGCGGTGACCCTGGGTCACGTTGCCCAGTCTGCTCCGCTAGGAGCATGCGCAGTGGGCTGGGCGGGGGCCCGTGGGCCCAAGCTCCCGGGTGGCGGGCGCACACAGCGACCCCTGCGGCCTCCCGCGCGCCTGCGCCTCTTCTCCAATCAGCGCCCAGCGCCCGGGTCGAAGGGGCGTGCCCTCACCCGCACGCGTAGGGAGACACGTGACTGAGAGGCGGACCAGGCCGGAGGGGCGTGGCCGCACTTCCTCGCTGCTCCCTTGTTAGAAATTAAAAGAAAAACATCTTTTGAAATAAACTAGCGTAGTGAGATGCGGAGACCTATATCGAATAAAACGCATTAATGTCAGAAAAAGAAAATGCGGAAGCCCACAGCCCTATATGGAAGCAGTGCCCGGACTGATGACGAAACCTGGGATTAATTTTTTATTTAAACACCAGAAATACAAAAAAAGGAGAGTGACTATTAAAATAGATACAGAAATAGACACTTCACAGCCAGAGGAATTCACAATTGCAAAAAGTAAAACATTATACTTTCTACATATTTCCATTGTATGTCTTGCCTTTTGATTCTTTAAATTTCTCATAGAATTTAAATAAAAAAGGGAATTCAACTTTAAAAGCATGAACAGGGGGAGCAGTATTAGACCATTTACATTTATGGATAAAGTATTGAGACAAAATAATTAAGATTTAATCATAAAAACATATCAGATCTAACAAAATATAAAATATCAGAATCTTTCACTTTAACCTTTCACTGAATGTTGAACAGTAACATTTTGCGAATCTATCCAAGACAGTTTTGTATATGTGCAGCAAACAAACAAAAGTAACAAAGATTCCTTCTCATTATGACAAAATACACACAAATCGTCTTGTTCGTGTTTAAATCGAGAAAGTGGGATTAAAACATGAATTAAGGATTGTGGAGCTCCGCTTGCGTCCCTTAGCTCCGCGCCTGGCCGGGACAGGGAGTGCAGCTGCGAACCCCCCCGCTCTTGAACAGGGTGGGAGAATCAAGTCACAGCAGTTGGATCCACTCCTGAACTTTGCACCGCCATCATGGTGCCCCCCCAAAACCCCAAGAGCCGTTTCCACCGCACAACAACCCCCCTCACCCCTTAAATCGCACCTCGTTCCCCCTGGTCTCGCCTGCGCATTGAAGGAGGAGGAAAATGAGTCAGAACGCAGCGCCTGCAGGGTCCACCCCCCCTCCTCATCGTCAGTCTGACCCCTTGGTATTAGGAGCCTCACAACCGGAGCAGCGAGGCAGGCTTCCCGCACTGGATCTGTGCTCTTCACTCATTTTTACCCCCGTCCTCCGAGGCTGGGGATCGACCCCCCCCCGGCCGGCCTGGGCCCGCGCATGCGCGCCGGCGGCCCGGGGGAGGAAGCTGCCTTGCCTGTCGCCTCCCACGCGCGGCCGAACGTACCCACGTCCCGGCGCGCATGCGCGGGGGGGCGCTCAGAGCAGGGGGGAACAAAAGTGGCGCTACATCGTATCCAGCTCGACTCCGGGTAAGGATTCAGACGCTATTTATTGCATTTTCTTGCCTAATCCGTCAAAGTTTGGCCAAGTGCTGGCGGCGGCGCCCGGGTGCCCGGGGGCGCCCCCCAGGGCCGGCCGGGGGGGCCCGGCGGTGCAGTTTAATGGAGACCTTGCAGTTCAATTTTACCCCGCCTGAGATTTTTCCTTTCCTCCCCCTCTCCGCTGTGGCAGGGTGCTATTGCCTGTGCTCTCTCACGTATTGTTCGCTCGCTCTCTAATGGCGGACGTGAGGCAGTGCTACTCGCCGACTGGAAGGGGCAAATAATACCCCCCCCCCCCCCCCCCCCCCCTCGGCGAGGGGCAGAAAGCGAGGCGGCCACCACGATTGAGGGTAAATAACATCTGCACGGGGCAGATGCGTACTTTTAATCACAGTACCCCCCCCCACGCTACCTGCACCGAAACAACTGGAGCAGAGCAGTTGATGTGAAAGGCGTGCGTTAGCGCCCCTTGGGGGTAACCGGTGTATTTTTGTTTCCCTCTGATTGCCTGGGGTATTCGCTGAGAGGCAGGTCGCAGCCTGTACGCCATCCGCGTTATTGGCGATTTAAAACAACAACAACAAACAAACAAACTAGCTGCGATATCAGCTGGAAGGTGCCTCCGCCGCCGACTTGTTTTAAAAAGCGGGGGCGCCAACTCGAGCTGCGGGCGCATGTTCAGCGGCGCTGACACTTGAAACAGGGCTGTGTGCGTGCGTGTGCGTGGGGCGGCTGGATATCGGCAGCCGGGCAAACGCAGACCCACCGCCCGCTGGTCGCCGTGCCCCGTGGAAACTATCTGTTGATGTTGTGCGTGGGGGGCGGCGGCGTGCGCGGTCGCGTCGTCGTCTCGGCGAATAGTCGCGCACAAGTTGTGATTATTCCCCTGTAATCGCAATGGCGCAGTCCTCCGGCTCCTGGCCTCCCTGCCCGCCTGCCTGCCTGCTAATCCAGTAGCGGTGGCGGTGGCGGCCGGAGCTCGGCCCTTGCCGATGACCTTAGTCGCGCTGGGAGCGCTGCCGGCCCGGGAGCGATGCCTTGATTGGCTCAGTAATTGCTACGGGTGGGTTGGTGGTTGGTGGTGGTGGTGCAAAACCCGTTCGCGTTCCTCAACGCTTCCCTCCTGCCTCGGTTTCTAGGTAAGACCGCGCCGCGCTGCCCCCAGCTGCGTGTCCGTGTCGAGGGGCACGGTTTCCAGGCCGCCTGCGCCTGCGGTCACGCGTGTGCACCGCACTTGGCTTGTGGAGGTGTGTGAGGTCGGTGCTCCTGAGGGTGGTGGGGTTTCTGTGTGTGTGTGTTCTCCTAAAACCCGTGTGCGAGTGACACCGCTCCTGCCTTCTCGGCTGGCTTCACCTCAGGCATGGGGGGGCCCTTGCGTCCGTGTAGCTCTCTTCGCCCCAGGGGGTCCCGGGGCAGCCGGCCTGCAGGAGGGGGGACCCCTCTCCCTCCTCCGCGGGGGCGGCTGGCCGTGCGCTTCGGAGGGCGGGGTGGTGGGGGGGATTTGTTGCGGTCTTGCTCGTCGTCGCGGATCGGTCACCGCGAGAAGAGCAGACGGGGTATCTCCCCCCACCCCCTTCGCTTTTAGGCCTCAAAATCAACATCGTGCGGATCCCCCCCCCCACACACACACAAGCAGGGCCACGCTTGCGAGAGGAGGCTCGGCAGCAAGTCGTGCCCCGTGTCCGGAGCTCAGCCACAGGGAGGGGTGCCCCCCCCCTTTGATCAGAGAGGGGTGCAGGTCTCCACATAGTCCCTGCTGCGCCGGGTGCCGTTTGCCCTGCTTGGGGGAGAGGCACGGGGTGGCCGTGCTCTTGGCGGAGTAGAGCCCGTGAGTAGGGTCTGGTTATGTGGTCGCATTGGCTGTAAGTGGGAAGCGCACCGAGGCCCCCGGGGGCCAGGGGGTGCCGATCTGTGTGGCAGAGCACAGTGTGGTGTCTGTGGTTTCTGACGGTTCCCCGTCCTGTGCGCCTGTGCCTGCGATCAGACGGCAGCAGGGCAGCCGCAGTACCGAGAAGCCCCTCAGGTGGCGCTGTTGGGAGCAAGCCGACTATCCTGCAAACACGAGCGGCACAAGACCAGAGATGATGTGTCCTTGGGATTTCAGGCGGCAGAGGGGGATCTTTCGCTTTGGCCGGGCCGTGAGCAGCAGGCGTGGGTGCAGATAACGGGCACCCTTCGTGCAATCCACCTGGGCCAGCCCTGCGGGGTTAGATGGCGGCCCGCTGACACTCTGCGGTTTTGCTCAAGGAGACGGGCCTGTAAGTTGTCAGCTGCTGGAGGGGGCGGCCTTGGGATTCAGGCTGGGGCGATTCCAGGAGACCCCGCCCTCCCCACCCGCAGGCTGCCTGTCTGTGACAGTTCACCCAGCGCTGTCGATGCGCTTCAGCGTCCTCGGTGACGCAGAAACCTTAAAGAGCGACGGGTGCACGCGTGCTCCCCTGCAGGTCGAGCACGGGAGGCCATTTCATGTGGTGCTGGGGGCTGTATGGGAAAGACTGGGGACTGGATACATGCCGCTGGTCTGAAAACTGTGCTCGGGTGTCTGAGAAACCCTCCCGGATGCAGGCGATGTGTGGGTTCTGTCGATGCCTCGCCAGCTAGCTCCTGTCTCAGTAGGTTCTGGTGACTGCGTCTGCAAAGTGGCTGAACAGGTTTCCTGTCAGTCAAGTTTGCATCGCATCCAGAGAGCCAGCTGGTTTAAAACCTCCCAGATATCAGCAGTTTCCCCACTTGCTTCACGCAGGGTCAGCATGAACTGCTGTGGTGAAAAATTTTACTATCAAACTGATGCTTTACAACATGGCCTCTAGTTGAAACTGCATCTGTTCAAAACCTGTTTACCCAATTAAATCCAGACTTGGTGTTTATCACCCATTGCATTTATTATGATACGGTGTTCTGGCCTGAACCTATATGGTTGTTCTTTTTTTTTTTATCCGGCTAATAATAGTATCTGTTAGGTAGTGCTGTAGCATCATCACATGACTTTCAGCCACTTGTCCAGTTCAGTCGCAGTGGCCCAGAGCCTATCCCAGCATGCACTGGGCTCAAGGCAGGGTACAATCCTGGACTGGACGCCAGTCCATCACAGGCCACACACAGACCAGGGCCAGTTTTCCCAGAAGCCAATTAACCTGCCGCTATGCGTTTGAACTATATGTGAGGACAAACACGTGAACATGGGAAGAACGTACAAACTCCACACAGACAGCACCCCTGGAGTTGATCCCAGGGGCCCCAGCTCTGCGAGGCAGCAGTGCTGGTGCTGCAGCAGTTTTTTTTTACAGTTGCGGTTCTGCGGTTCGTTTTTGTAAGGGCTCGGTGTCTGTGGCGTCCTCCGGCTGTTGGATTCCAGGGCTGAAGTCGGCTTGTTGAGACGTACGGATGTATTGGAGAGTTATCATCTGTTCAGCCGAAACCTGACCTCCGTGTTGCTTCTTTACGGTCCTTGTTTCACACTGGTGACTTCTGCTGCTGCATCATGATCTTCTGACTATTTACAACCGAATGTATGCATTTATTCTTTAAGCTTATTTTTTTTACTTATGCATTTCTTCTTCGCTCTCAGTGCCTGGTCCGCAGTCTGCTCCTGCGTTGCCTTATTGTAGTGTGCTGTGGTGCTGGAACTTGCCAGAGGCCATCGTAGCTTCAGTCCGGTAGCCAGGCCGGTCGCTGAAGGGAGAAGTTGCCCCAGTGGCAGTAAAAGGTGGAGCTAGGTGCCGTAGCGTCCTTGAGGAAGTTTCAGCCGTTTGAGGTCCCCAGTACTGCACCCTCCTATCCTCCTGGCAGCACGGGCGCGTGCTGGAGCCCCGGAGCTCAGGAGACGATCCCGGGCGGCATCGTCGGGCTGGTTTCCTGTAAGAGACGGCGTCCTTCGCTGTCTGCACAAGGCCTGCCTCCGCTCCACCCCTGGGGGGAGGGGGGCAGGCTGCCCAAGCGTGACACAAGAGCTCAGGAAACCTGACCTTCAGGGGTCGACCTCTCCTGCGCCGAGCCGGTGGAGCCTGCCTTCTGGAAGAGGCACCCGGACAGCGCTGGCCTGCTGGTTCCCTACAGTAAAGCTCCGGACGTCCCGGTGCAGGGTTGTGCCCACCCCGTTGCGGTAGTCCAGCACGGCTCCGTGATCTCCCTGGATTTTCCCCGATTTAACAGCCCCGGAGCCCCCAGTAAGATGCGCGCCGCAGCCCGAGACTCCCCGGAGAGGCCAGGTTTTTAATGCAAAGCAAGGTGGTTTTTGATGCCACCAACATGGCCAGTTTTAAGCGGCTTCCATCCCCGTGGTGATGAGGCTGGGGAAGATCCGGGGGTTCTCCCGGAGACGCGGCCAGCCCTGTGCGGTGTGGAAGAAGGGGGAGCAGGGGGCCTGGCCTCTTTAGAGAAGTGAGCGGTGAGGTCCTTGGCTGGGTGAGGGGCCCCCTCTGTTTGGGACCCTCATGGCCCCGGGAGCGAAGCCCACTGCTGCTGCTTCTTTGGCCGCAGATCTCTCGCGGCGCCCCTATCCCCCCCCCGGCCCGTCTCGGGGCGCCGATCCCCGCTCCGCGCGGCGGCTTTTCTCCTGCCGCCACGGCCGTCGAACGGAAAGGAGAAAAAACGACATTTGGGCTTTTGAAGAAGAACTGGTTCTTTTATTTGAAAACGTGTTCTTTGCTGGTTCAGTGAAGTTCAGCCAGGAGTAGTAGTGTTTGTATGTAGCTGGGGTGTGGAGAGCACTCTTAAGAAACATTAAAAGTGCCTCACCGCTGGCAGTCCAGTCGTGAACACCAGCGCCGTGACGACCAGAGCCTTGGTTTGGACAAGGCGACAATTTGATCACATCTGGTCCTCCGCGGGCGGCAGGGTGACACAGTGGTTAGCGTTGCGTGTGTTCGTGTTCGTTTCCTCCGGGCGCTCTGGTTTCCTCCCACAGTCTGGAGACATGCTGGCATTTTGGCTTCTAGGAACATTGGCCCTGGCGTGAGTGTGTGTCTGTGTGTGCGTGTCTGTGTCTGTGTGTGCGCCCCGTGTCGGACTGGTGTCCCGTCCAGGTGGTAGCCTGCCCCGTGCCTGGTGCTTGCTGGGATAGACCCTGCGACTATCCCAGGCAGTTCGGTAAAGGGTGGATGGCTCCTAGACATTTGTTGGTGAATGTGAAATGTGCTTGGCGGTTCTTAACTAATCCTGGAGTTCCCATTTTCTTGTCAAGTTGAGTTGGTTTAATGCACGTTAGAAATGCTCTTGGGTGGTTTGTATGGGGCGTGAGGCCTGTCCGAAGGGGGAGTTTAACTACACACCGTGAGCCCCATGCTGTGGAATGAAGAGCATGTTGAGAGACCAGAGCACGTGGAAGCTGAATATTGGAAACCATGTATTTCCTGTGCATCTTAAAATGGTTTAAGGGATCTCTTATTTATATGGTACGACGTGGGTTTTTGTGTAGTCTATTTAAACGGACTCCGCCTTTTGATATTAACCAGCAGAACACGCCACACCGCTATTTTGTTGCGTTTTAAAAAAGCTACACTTCTTTATCTTTGGTGGGTTATCGCTTTATTAGTGCATTGTCAGCTGCTTACTGTCGTGTTCTTTGTGTTTGTTCTGAGAATAAATCCAGAAGGTGTTTTTTTTTCCGCGTCTGACCTGTCCAGCGGGAGCTGTTGCGCTCCTGTGAAGATCGGGGGGTAAAGCCAGCAGGGAGCCCCAGCCTTGGCTGGTCTTTGCGTGCCGCAGGCCGATGAGCCCAGGAGGTGTCTTGGGGTGAAGCAGATCGGCCTGTGTGGGGAAAAGCACTCTGTTCCCCAGGCTGGAGTGACGTGCGTGTCTGAAAGGGGGGCTAAACGGAGAAGTGAAGGGGTGGGGGTGGAGTCGGCTTCTTTAACCTTCTCTTCTGGGGGGGGGAGATGGGGCCGTAGGTGACTGCCCCGGGGTGGATCGCGCTCCCTCACTGTGCCCTCTGCGTTCCAGGTGGTTGCCAGAGCAATGGACGGAGGCTTTGCAGAGAGGCTGGAGCCCAGCGTCGCCGTAGAAGGAGCGGCCATGGAGACTGAGGAGGGGCCTGCCCCGGCCCCGGACACCCCCGGCTTGGGGGCCACAGAGGGCCAGAACCCCGGCCAGGGGCCCCACGAGCTGGCCAGCCCCCCCCGGCCCGCGGAGGAGGAG